CAACAAACTCTGAGGTGAGCCCTTGCTGACCCCTAGTTGTACAGATGAAGAAATGGTAGCTGGGGGAAGTCAGATGACCCACCCTCCTCCCAGGGCCACCGGGCAGCGGGCTTGAGGCTGATGCTGCCAGCTGCTTCTCTCCACGGTCCGTTGTTTTCCTGCCGACTCCGCGCGCCTCTTAGCTGTGTCGCTGGGACGAACCTCGGGAGTAACCTTAGTGTGCACTGAGCACCCGGCACACATCAGCGGTTAGGGATTAAAAACTAAACTCCACACACAGTAGGTACAACACTAAATGGTCACCTGACAGATTCGTGGTTACTAAATTCCTGGTTACCAAAGGGGGAAGGAGGTGTGGGAGGGTTACATTAGGAGTGTGGGACTAGCAGATACAAAGCACTATTTTTAAAATAGACAACAAGAATCTACCATAGAGCACAGGGAAAGATAGACAATATCCTGTAATAAACCACAATGGCAAATTTTGTTAAAGCCATGTAGATTTCGAGATGCAACATTTTCCAGCAGAGATCTGGTGTAACGTCACTGTCTTGCTAAATGGATACCACCACTGTAAGTGTGGAATTTTCATATCTTCAAATTTTGTTCCCCCCAGCTACCTGTTCTCTGTGGATGCTGAGATTCCGATTGTCAAGACTTGATTACTTGCCAGGGTGCTGCTGTACCCAATTCAGCATCCTCACAGGCACGAATCAGAAAAACCCATTAGATGAAACATTCTCTCTGAGGATAAACAGCTAGGGGTGCCTCTTGTCCAGCTCTCTGGGATCCACTCTCCAGAGTCCTGTCTTCCTACGTTACCCCACAAATCCTCCTGAGCAAGGGAGGTAGCTGCCCTGAAATGTGCTTGGTTAGACATCTTCTCTTCTCTGCACTTGTCTTCCTGACCCAGAGTCCTGCAGCTAATTCTGAATCTGCTGCATTTCCAATCCTCCCATTTCCAACACTGTTACCTTATGTCCTAGCTCCGGAGGCTTACTAGACACAGGTTCTCTAGTCAAGCCTGTGTCTGCATGCATACGTGCTCAGTCACTTCGGTCGTGTTCAACTCTGAGACCCCATGGACTGTAGCCCCCCAGGCTCCTCTGTCCATGGGATTCTCCAGGCAAGAATACTGGAGTGGGTTGCCAAGCCCTCCTCCAGGGGACCTTCCCGACCCAGGGATCAAACCCAGGGATCTCCTGTGGCTCCTACAGCGCAGGCAGATTCTTTACTCACTGAGCCACCCAGGAAGCCCCAGTCAAGCTTAAGTAAATTTAAATCATATTTTCTAAGTAGGCAGAATCAGCCATTACACAGTCAGACAGGCTTAAGGAAAAAGAGTGTGATAGCCTGCTGTCACGAGAACTCCAGTGCTTCTCACATCTTGCATTCATAGTTTTTATAGCCCTCTCCAACATGGAACAGGAAAGATCTATGTGGCAAAGGCTAGGTCCTAAAGACCTTGTGGGGTCTTCCTTGCACTCTTGGCCCATTTGCTCTGGAGGAAGCCAGTGATCATGCATCATGGACACTACAGTCGCCCCAGGAAGAAGTACAGCTAGGAAGGAACGGAGGCCTCCAGCCAACAGCCAGCACCGATTTCCTATCCACACACGTGAGCCGACTAAGAAGAGGAATCTCCATGTGGGTCAGCCTTCAGATGACTGAGTCCTCAGCTAACATCTTAAATGCAACTCTGTGAAAGACCCTAAGCTAGAACTACCCCTCAACTCCTCTCCCTGAGAAACTGTGTGAGAGATAAAATGTTTCTTCTTCTTTGAAGCCACTGAGATTTAGGGTAATTTCTTACGCAGCCAAAGAGAGCTGAGAAAACGTGCATTCAAAATCAATTTATAAGGAAAGTAAACCTAGAATGTCATGAGCCCTGTAACACGAAGAATTGCATATAAATATAACTCAACATTCAAAATACATGAGGAATACAAGAGAGATGAAATAAGGGGTATCTTTTTATAAAACTTAAAGTTTTTATTGTTTATGTGTGTGTTTAGTTGCTCAGTCATGTCTGACTCTTTGTGACCCCCTGGACTGTAGGCTGCCAGGTTCCTCGGTCCACGGGACTTTCCAGGAAGAATACTGGAGTAGGTTGCCATGCCCTCCTTAAGGAGATCTTCCTGACCTAGGGATCAAACCCAAATCTCTTGCATCTCCTGCATTGGCAGGTGGGTTCTTTACCACTTTACCACCAGGCAGCCCCTCCCAGATGGCGCTAGTGGTATAAAATCCCCCTGCCAATGCAGGAGACAAGGGTTTGATCCCTGGGTTGACAAGATCCCCTGGAGAAGGAAGTGGTTACCCACCCCAGTATTCTTGCCTGGGAAATTCCATGGACAGAGGAACTTGGTGGGCTATATAGTCCATCAGGTCACAAAGAGTCAGACACGACTGAGTGACTAAGTGTGCACACACACAGAGACAGACATACACTCACACATTCGATCTCTGGTTGGGGAACCAAGATCCCACATGCTGCATGTCTTGGCCAAAAAAAAAAAAAAACTTTTTAAGATCCAGAAAAACTGTTAAGAGCGATACCACTTATTTTTATGGACCATTTCTTCTAAAAGGGAGGAAAGAGTAAATAATAAGGAAGGCTACTATGTAATGAGTAAACATCACGGAATAGCTATTGCATTAATGGCTCTACATAGCAATAGTAATTGCTGATTTTTTTTTTAAGTTGGTCAGTGAGAGGCATTGTCCAGAGCACTGTACATGTATTGATTTATTTAATCTTCACAACTGCTTTATGACTCGAATTCCATTAGTATGCCCATTTTCCAGATGAGGTGACTGAGATAAAAGAATGTAAGGAGTGTACTAAGGTCACACAGATAGTAACCACTTAATCCCCACAGCAGCACTCTGACAGACGCAGGCACTTCTTAGGGGCATAAAGTGCCAGGTTCAAGGCCAAGTTCTTCCATGCCCCGGCACACAACAGCCCCAAGGCACCTATTTCACAGATAAGGGATCTTGGAAATTCAGTCAGTGTCTTACAGCAAACACAGAGCTCAGGTTGGAACTGACCACAGAACAGACCCTTTTACCCATCCAGCTGTTCTAGAGAAGCCCAGTTGGGCTGGGCCAGTGGCATAAATGTACAGCTAGCTACTTGAGGAGGTCTTCTTCTGGACAGTCGCCAGAGGAGCATTTTAGTTAAAAGCTTTCCAAACACTTGAATCATGCCAGCTCTCTCCCAAAGGACACTGGAGATCTTCTCTGTTGGCAGAGAGTGGACTTTACCGATGCCAAGGCAACAACTGGTAATATTTGTATTTAACGACAACAACAATAAGCTTTAGACACCTTCCCACTTTTCATCTCATCCTGATTACAAAACCGATTCAACGTTTACTGAATACCAACAAAGGTCCATGTAATCAAAGCTATGGCTTTTCCAGTAGTCATGTACAGATGTGAGAGTTGGACCATAAAGAAGGCTGAGTGCCAAAGAATTGACTGTGGTTGGAGAAGACTCTGGAGAGTCCCCTGGACTGCAAGGAGATCAAACCAGTCAATCCTAAAAGAAATCAGTCCTGAATATTCACTGGAAGGTTCAATACTTTGGCCATCTGATGTGACAAGCCGACTCACTGAAAAAGACCCTGATGCTGGGAAAGACTGAGGGCAGGAGGAGAAGGGGGTGGCAGAGGATGAGATGGTTGGATGGCTTCATCAACTCAATGGACATGAGTTGGAACAAACTCTGGGAAACAGTGAAGAACAGGAAAGCCTGGCGTGTGGCCATCCATATGTCCACAAAGAGTCAGATACGACTGAGGAACTGAACAATAACTATGTGCAAATCAGTATGATGAGCATTAAGGAACATCTGGTTACATATCATTTACCTGAGTATATTGATTTCGAACTTATAACTCTCAAGAGAAGTTAAAAGAGCTTCAGTGATCTGTGGGATAACAGCCATGGCACTAAAGAAACTTATAGGACACATGGGGGGAATTCAACCTCTGCATCATCTAGAAAACTTCAATACAACTATGTCAGAAAAAATAAATTAGACTAAAGGTCAGCGGACTCACCCAAATGACTTTGAACAAGTCGTTTCATTTGTCCACTTCCATGTCTTTATTTGTAAAACAAAAAGATTGGTCTACAAAACAGCGAATCTCCCCCTAGTGCTGACTCCTGTCCTTGCACAAATAGAATGTCTACATTTAGACAATGTGTGAGACAGCAGGACTGAGGTGGGGCTTGGTACATGGAGTGGTATCAGAGACAGAAGATGGTAAACATCCAAACCCCAGAGCCATTCATACATGAATTAGGAGGACTTCACATATATAAAGTTTATATATATATATATGCATTATATATATGCATTATATATATTATAAATATGCCATATATATGCATTATATATGTGCATTGTATATAATATATAATGCATTATATATATATATATGGCTTCCTAGGTGACTCAGTGGTAAAGAATTCACCTGCCAGTTCAGGAGCCACTGAACCTGTGGGTTCCAATCCTGGATGAGGAAGATCCCCGGGAAGAGGAAATGGCAACCAACTCCAGCACTCTTGCCTGGAAAATCCCATGGATGTAGAAGAATTGTGGGTTACCATCCACAGGGTTGCAAAAAAATTGGACTCGACTGAGCACGCATGTGACACAATGCATATATATATGCACACACACATATAAAGACCTAGGGAAAAGAGCATTCCGAAGTATCAGCAAAAATGTACTGAATTTTCCAAGACTTGAATAAAACTGGGACACCAGAAATAGTAACCTTGCTAAGTAAGTAATGGCAGATGTACTTGACACTTGGTTAATGGGATCTAAAGAAAAGTAAACATGAGCCCACACAAATGCATACATGCATATACTGCACACACACACACACACACACTCAGTCCCTCGCACAGAAGTGAGGGAGGCTTCCCACTCGCTCAGTGGAGCACGGAGCCCGGAGCCCGGAGCCCGGGCACGCGTCGACATGCAGCTCTTACACCGTCGTGGCACCGCACCAAAGCCACGGAACGCGCAGTGCGCCTGCGCCCGCCCTACACATTCTTGCGTGCACAAAGGAGACCCGGGAGCTCTTCCAGACTCAGACGTTTTTATCAGCCAGATAAAGGCACTCGTTGAACCAGTGGAAAGGACTAGAAGCCTGAACTCAGGCTTCCTGGTAAAGGCAGCCTTACACCCGACTCTGCAGTACCGGGGAGGAAAGGATATTCTGCCCGGATGCTGCCGGGAACGAATCAAAGGATGAAGAAACTTGCTTTTTGGTGCCTACGAGTGCCTTTTCTTGCTCAGAAGGATCTTCCAGTTTGGGCACAGAACATAGCAAAGTAAATTCAAGTGTAAATGGCAGAAATAGGGAGGGCACTGAAGTGTTTAGCAAACAGGAGGCTAAAACGGCTGTTGTCTATTGCAAGACTGCAAGAAATCCTCCACGGTCATCCATTAAAGGGATGTGAACAAAAATTCTACAGAATTAAATGGTAACAATCTTTTAATTCCCTGTTCTGCTGCGAATAAGATGTCAGGTCCTCTCCAGATCGTCATCATGCATTTGGTTTAGTCTGTGAATCTCGGTTACTCTTAAAGCAGTTAAATTTAAATTCAATATTTGGTGGGAAATCACTGATAAGGTCTTCATGACCTTTCATTTTTCACCCACGCATAGATCTCACTCACAAGATAGTCAAGGTGCTCACTGCCCACGACAAGACCTTAAGTCATCCCTTCAATGCCAGTTAGAAAATGATTTAATTTAGGGCTCATTTTGTTTCCCTCGAAAATAAGGACTTTCTTTCTAGCTTCATGATTCTGACATCAGCTTTTACTGGGAAATCCTTGGAAGGGCTTTAACTCTAACAAGTCCAAGTGATGGAAAGGAAGAGAAATGCCCCTTTATTCTTGCCCCCTTTAATCTTGCTAAGGTGAAACACACACAATCTCTGTCTCTGCCTTTCTCATACGTCCTTCCCCTTCCCCCCTCTCACTACTTGGGAGTCTTTTGGGGTTTTTTCCCCCTCCTCTTTATTTGATTATTAACTACTTAAAGTGAGGAATCCTGGCAGACAGAATCCTAAAATTTAAAAAATAGAAATGACCTTGAAGAGTATACGGAATGAATGAAGCTGATAAACATTAAAAGAGAAGTCACTTTTTAAACTATTAAGAGAATCAAGCCTGGACTTCCACATGTATCTCTGTTGCTTCTGTCCTCAGGATTCGTGCCCATAGGGGACAGAAAAGTGTCTTCCTGGGCCAGGAGACAGAGGAAAGCAAGGAACAAAACCTCCTTTCTTTCTGATTTTTATTTTATTTTTTTCCAGCTGCCATATGATGCCCCCTTCCTGTGTCTGTGGGGTAACAAGCCCTGAGCTCTGGGGGAGGGAAGCCTGGCCTCCGCCAGCTCTGAGTCTCCTTCTCTCCAGAGTTAACCCATCATTTGGGGCCAGGTGCCAGGCCAGATTGTTCTCCCTTGGGGGTGGGAAGTGACGGCCAGGGTCTCATCTTCAGGAGCTCAGAGCTGCATCCAGGGCATGACCTAATTCAAGCCTGTGTCCTTCTACTGCGCCAGCATTACCTCTGCTGATATTACCAGCTGTGTCCCATATGGCCAACGTCCGTTCATTTACACACACACACACACACACACACACACACACACACACACTTCAGGAAGGTCTGGTCAGACATTTAAATAGGCTCGAGGCTCTGACTGCATCTTCATTCAGTGTCCTTCCATTCATTACACCCGGCATGGTCCAGGGGAAGAGGTTATTTCTGAAGGGTGTGAGGAGAGATGCATTTGAAAGTGCGTTCCTCAGGGAGAACTGAGCTGTTCTTTTCTAAGAAGGTCATGAACAGATCACATTGCATTAGGAGTCTCTCTTGCCCTGGTTTCTGGGCCCTGGAGGGTTGAGCTTTATGATCTACCAGGTACAATTATCAGATCAGTGCTGAAGAAAACATCTTTTCTGTGTGAAGCTTTCAGAGCAAAACTAAGTTTTATCAATGATTTCCCCCAGAAAAGACAAGTGTCTTTAATTTGAGCTCCAATGCTCCTGCTGGCAAGCATCCACACTTTCCCATAGCTGAATTGGGATGACTTAAAAGTCACCTTATGAATTGGGGACAGGAGGCAGGTATGGAAAAACACTACCATCACTACTCAGAAGTACTGTCATATTACCAATAACCAAAAAGAAAGCTGTAGAAAGGAGAAGGGAGGGGAAAGGGGTAAATTGAGATTAAGGGTCAGTGCCAGGTGGCACTAGTGGTAGAGAACCCAGCCGCCAATGCAGGAAATGCAAGAGACACAGGTTCCATCCCCAGGTCAGGAAGATCCCCTGGAGGAGAGCATGGCAACCCACTCCAGTATTCTTGCCTGGAGAATCCCATGGACAGAGGAACCTGGCTGGCTACAGTCAATAGGGTAACAAAGAGTCAGACATGACTGAAGCGACTTAGCACACATGCATGAAGCAAAGTATTTTTTTTAAAGGTGTATAACACAGGATATTTAAAATGAACAAAGAACTAAGCTATTCTAAAGCACAACTGCAGAGGCTATTCTCCCGTCTCTGATGTCTGTGATCACATTTGAGAACAGACCACATTGCCCCCTTCTCTCCCTACTTCTTGGAAATACAGAAGACATATCACAGCATCTACCAAATAAAACATAAGAACACAAGTAGAAAATGTACTGATGCACTTAAATGTTTCTTTCGTATCCAAATCAGACAGAAACGAGTATTTGAATATTATTAGGGACTCATATTTTCCAACACTTGTTTACTATAGCTTACTGTGGGGACCTTTCGAGGAAAAAAAAGGGGGTGAGGGAGATTGTTGCCCCTATTTTTCAAAATATTAACTACAATGTACTCCTTTGTATTTATGGGTTAGTAAATTTGAATTTAAGAACCAAGGGACCTGAGTTTCAGTTTAGCTGTGTTGCCAAGGACTGTTTGGCTTTTCCTGACAAACTCCGAGTTTCAGGTCCCCCTCTGCTAAATAAAGGGCTGCATTCTCTTTGAGGTTGCCTGAGATTTATGGAACTACCATTGTCCCCTTTAGTATCAACACTACTCTCGTTTCCATTGTGTGACATGATGAACAACATTCAAAGCCTAGCAGAAAGGTAAGTCTGACTTGTTCCTTTTGATGAAAGTGAGGAGAAAAGATCTGAAGTGGGAGAGAACTGATGGTAGCCCCTACATCCAGACACAACTGAGGTTTTGTTTCCAAAGAAGCTCCGTGGACATATTCTCATTCAAGTCTCACAACAGACCTTGGAGGCTAACATTCATGGGTGAATTGAATGGGGAAATTTAAGGGTTATCCCAAGACACTGAAAAATATCTTTCTTATGTCCATAAGATGTGCATGACGCACTCACATGAGGCATTCCACGTGCATGACATGGAACTTGGACCAAAAGTTTGGAAGTGTCTGTATATCCCATCACAATCAAATCTACCAGAAGACGTGTTTCCCACAGACACTTGCTGCCAGCATCAAGTCATTTCCCTCTTCATCCCAGTCCTGTTTGGTGTTCCATCCTCCTGGAAACCTTGAGCTGATAAAGACACTCAGCACCAGCCCGAGGAGCACTCTCACGGCGGCTGTTTATACTTGAAGGAGGTCTGTTTTCCTTTTTTAGGGCACAAGTCGGACAGCTGCCTACAGCAGGAAGCTACTGCCGATTATTTTGGTCCCAATCCTGTTCTCAGACACAGCGAGAGGGAAATGAAAGAAACCAGCCCTCCGGCCACAGCTCCGCCAGGCTGTGTGAGAAGGAGGTAGGTGGGGAGAGCAGACCAAACCCAAGAAAGACAGCGGCATTCCCTCTCCTCCGCCAAGGGATGCAGGCCCGTGTGATGTAAGCATGTGTGCTCTGTATGATGTCACGCACACCCGCCTGCCTCTCCCTGGGCCATAGCCCCTGGAGCAAGTTTGCATTTAGTTCAAGGACACTGGGGCCCCCTTAGAACACTGAGAGCGTTACAGTGCTATAGAGGTAAGGGAAGCTCCAAGCAAGCCTCCATAGCAAGGTTCCCATTGATCTAACCAACAGGAAATTTAAGGATGTATTAAACCTGAACTGTGAACACTTTGCCTTGAAGGTACAACTCAGCATAGCACTGCCTTGAATTTGAAAGAACTCACAGGCAGTGAAGGCTGGTGTATAAATAGTCAAATTACACATGAGTGTTTGGTCTTTTTTATAAATTACAGCAGAATCAGAGAACTCAGATTGTCTGAGACCTAGAAGGTAACAGGGCATCCCTAGTGGCTCAGTGGTAAAGAATCTACCGGCAATGCAGGAGATGCAGGTTCGATCCCTGGGTGGGGAAGAGCCCCTGCAGAAGGAAATAGCAACCCACTGCAGTATTCTTGCCTGGGAAACCCCATGGACAGAGGAGCCTGGCGGGCTACGGTACACGGGGTCAACTGAGCATGTGAGCATTATGGAAGGTAACATTTGAGCTCCATCTGGAGAGAGGAATGAGCTCATCGTCAGAGCTGCAGGAAGGGTATGCCACTCACAGAGAAAGGCATTTAGGGAAGAGCCTAGATTTTATAGGAAATAGTGCAAGTTTAGTGTTGGCTTTGTTGTGAGTGGATCAAACAAGAGATTCTTTGGGAGTTCCCTCAAAAATACAAGGGAAGGAGGTGTCAAAACACTTTTATTTCTTGGCTTTATTTATTTATTTATTTGGCTACACCACACTTTTGGGGGTCTTAGTTCCCCTACCAGGGATTGAACCCATGTTCCCTGCAGTGGAAGCATAAAATCTTAAACACTGGGTGACCAGGAAAGTCCTAATTTATTTTTAGATTAATAAAATAATTATATTTGAAAGGTATATTTCCACCTTCAACCCAAGTGAAACTAAAAGTCGCTCAGTCATGTCTGACTCTTTGCAACCCCACGAGCCACCAGGCTCCTCTGCCCATGGCATTCTCCAGGCCACAACATTGGAGTGGGTAGCCATTCCCTCATCCAGGGTATCTTCCCAACCCAGGGATCACACCCAGGTCTCCTGCATTGCAGGCAGATTCTTTACCATCTGAGCCACCAGGAAAGCTCAACCCAAAGAGGCATATTTTTTTTTCTTTTAATTAAAGAAGATATTCACCACAACCTCTTGGATTAAATTCTATGGAAAATTGTCTCTAATCATTAGTTCTTATGATTTCAACATCCAAATGCGAGAGTAACAACACGGCCTAAAAACAAAATAACAA